ACTAGTTTTGGATTCTGTTGTCTGAGATGGCTGTGCTGGATGGTTCTGATTTTGAAATTTGGCAGGCAGTTTTCCTGAACTAACTGTGGATTCTGTTGTCTGAGATGGCTGTGTTGGATGGTTCTGATTTTGAAATTTGGCAGGCAGTTTTCCTGAACTAGCTTTGGTTTCTGTTTTCAGGGATGGCTGTGCTGGATGGTTCTGTTTTTGAAATTTGGCAGGTGATTTCCGCTTTCTGTCCTGAACAGCGCCGTAGCTAGTATGAGGCCAACCGAAGCCTGATATAAATATGATATAAAAATGTAAAAAATATTCAAAATTTTTGCCGTAACAGTGGCGTGTTGTATGAAAAGCCTGTCAGTAATTAAAGGCAGTGGTTACACCGGAAGTACCTCGTTTTCATGTGCGACGTCACGAAGTTTGTCTGTACATTCGGACAGCGGCTGCTTAATTCAGGTGTTGTACGATCTGCCATTTTGAACTCAGCTGAAGTGAATATCTTAGCTAGCAAGCAGCCATGCAACGTTCAATCAGTTCTTTTTTAAAAAGAAAACGGTAAGTAGACAAAACCATTGCACCGAGCGTTTGTTTAATTAATTGTTTAAATTTTTTTGCTATATTTTTTTGAAAAAAATTATTTTTAGCGACTCAACTTCCAGTGAAAATGATTGTAGTGCGACTGCCACATGCATGGATGAACCTACAGAGCTACTAGAGAGGGACGAAGTCGAAGCAAAAACCAATAGCAATGTTTGCCAAGGTCAGTATAACATCATGCACATACAATCTGTAAAAAAAGTCCACATTGATGACTTTATGATTCCACTCCTCGTTCAGTGGTAATATTAAGTTGATGTAAAAAGCTTGAGCTAACCTTATTTTAAGCTTAATATTGTGCCTGTCCTACACTTAAAAACTCTAGGCGCTTCACAAGTCATAACGCTATTACTTAACTATTTAAAACTATATACTTTTATTACAGCCTTTTGCAAAAATTATGAGAATTGTCGAAATATCTAAATATCATAATATCAATTGCATGATGGGTAATCCCACGCGATTCCCGTTTGTCCTTTGTCTTTGTAGTTTAGTTTTTTTCGGCGGTGACGGACTTATCCGTAGTTCTGAACATTTTCTCGATGTCAACAATGAATTATTCTAGCAAACCCGCGTGTTCTGGACAATATATGGATATGGATAGTATGATATTTAGACAATTCTCATAATTTTTGCAAAAGGCTGTATATGAAACTATATACTTTTATTATACAATATTAAAATCATAACAATTATTTCATGTTATTTATTAAAGTGCTTACAATATGTTAACAGAAAAGCTCTTAATAATTTATTACTGCTTATTTAGCAAGTGACTATTTATGTGATATCATCCAACCAGAATATTGAATATAAAGACAAACACAAAGGGAAAGACATAGAGTGCAGTTAAACCGTGAAACACTAATTATGAAATAGTATGAAATACTGAGCTAAATTTTATGTAATTAATGTTTCACGCGGTTACTATGTTTTCACTCTAGTAACAATTAAGACTTTTTAATGGACAGATTGAAATTTTAAAGCGCTCTATCTCAGTGTCTGAATTTGATTAAATACTTTAATTGCTAGATGTCAAGAAACCAGATTTTACAACTTCATCTTGGCTGGAAAACTTACCTACAGAAATCTTGATCAAGATATTTAAATATCAGAGGATTCAGGAAAATATATTGGGGATTGGCTTAGTTTGTCGCCGATTTCATTTGATTACTGCGACATATCCAGAACTCTGGTCAACACTAGAATCAAGTGCAGAATTTAGTGTAGAATCTTTCAAACACATAATGACTCATGCTCGTGATTTTAAAGTTTTAGCTTTAAAATTCTCGCAAAAGCCTGTAAGGTACAATAGCCCAGAGGGTTTTATAGAAGGATATCTTTCTTTGTGTATAAACATCGAAGAACTTGATCTATGCTACAACACATCTATTGTTGACTTGACATTTTTACAAAGTTTGCCTAACTTAAAAAAACTTACTCTTGAAGGATGCACAAGCATTGACCCCCAAAATATGCTTAATAACCTTAAAGAATCCAAGACATTGAGAGTTCTGGATGTTTCTAGTTGCTTGCAATTGGATGGCGAACAACATAAACAGGCTTTGTTGAAATATGTCGGGTGTTGCCACGTCTTCAGATATTTAAAGCTGAATGGAGCTGCCGAATTTCTCCAGAATTAGTAATGGACATTTTAGACAGCTCTCATCTTTCTTACTTAGCTGTAACCCCATCTTCCTGGGGGTCCCAACCGGATTTATGGGCTGATATTGTAAATGGACATAACAATGTAAGATTTGGTGAAAGTATAATGCTTCAAATTTGATCATGGTCGAAGATGTCTGTAATGCAAAGCGGCAAACATGATGTGATTAAATAAAGATTTTGTTTGAACACAAACAATTCTTTTTTTTCCCTTTAACTAGTCTAGTAAATGCAAAGTTAAAGCAGCTGAGTTAAATGATCACTTCAGTTGCAATGATGATAATGAGAAAAATATTTTAACCATTTAACTATATACAATAACGACAGAAGCAATCTCGGCTAATTCAAACAATAAGAGTTTTTTCGTATCCTTTGAAATTCACCGTTGAATTTCACTGTGTAAAATTCATATGTAAATTAGGATCGATAAAACCACATGCTGCCCATAGATAACTGTTTATTGATGTATTCAA